CCCGTGTGTATCAAGAATGATCCACCAACCAAAGGACATCCACCTAACTCGAACTGTGGGAAGTGTTTCAATATGCTTTGCGTTGTAGTCATGACAGACAAAGATATATAGTTAAGCAAACTTTACTAGGCATGTTGTCAACCCGCACATTCATGCAGTAAGTCCCAACTGGTTTCCGTTTCCTGTGTAACATCAATATGAGTAACATTTGCTACATGTTCTCTTTTTTACAACAAAGCCAGACTCCACCTAACTTTGGCTTGTAGTCCATGTCTGCAATAAACTGGAATGTGAACTGAATGTTTGTTTACTGTCTCTGACTGTCCATTAATTCTTATTATTTTTACCTTCCCACAAAGTCTTTCAGGTGTATAGGTCTTCGGATGGCCATACCAGACCTTGTGTGGGGAGTGGTGATTACATCAGGAGGTGCTTGACCTGAGATGTTTGGATCTTCTTGTTGAGGTGCAGCGTCCACCTCTAGGTTGTGTTCAGCATCCTGCTGGGTGTCAGCTGGTGCTCTGTTTACTGGCTCTGTGCCAGGCTCCTCAACAGTGGGGAAATCCTCCTCTATTTCTCTGCTCTTCCTCAGGTGTCGCCTGTTCCTCCTGAAGACTTGTCCCTGTTCTGTCTTCACCTCATAGGACGTTTGCTCCACTGGTCTGACTACTGTGGCCCGCTGCCACCAGTGTTTCTGTCCTGTGAGTGGCTGAACTCTCACCCTGTCATCTCGTTGCAGCTCTGTGAGATCCTTAGCAGAGGTGTCGTAGTACTTTGCCTGTTTCTGCTGTCTTTCTTTGAACTTCTCCAGCTGACAGTTTGCCATCCCTGATCTCAGAAGATTTTCACTCATTATAAGTAGTGTCTTTGTACGTCTTCCCATGAGCACCATTGCAGGGCTGCTGTTCCTTGTGACGGGGTATTTCTGTGATCCAGCATGGCCATGTATGGGTCAGCACCTGCTCTCTTTGTTTTCACTGCCGATTCCACTTTCCCATTACTTTGCGGGTATCCTGGAGACTATGTTTTGTCCACTTTCAATATGGTCCACTTTCAACCCCTCTGATGTTAGCAGGTGGCCAATGTACGGCACTTCCTTCAGCCTAAGCGGCAGCTTCTCCGGATTCAGCTAGATATTGAGCTTCCTGCATCTGTCCAGGAGCATTTTGAAGTTTTTGTCGTGGTCTAGAGTCGCCGCTTCATCGTTGTCTCCCTCTCCCACAATCAGGATGTCATCTGCAATGATTTTGACTCCTGGAAGACCTTCCATTGCCTGGTTCAACTTCCTCTGAAAGATCTCTAGGGCTGGACTGATTCCCATTGGCATGCGCAGCTACCTGTACGTCCCATGGGAGTAGAGAACGTGGTGAGATTCCTCCTCCAGTTCCACATGCCAAAATCAATTTTTTACATCACAAACAGAGAACACGCGTGCTCTGTTCAGATCTGGCAGCACGTCTTCAATAGTGGGAAGTGGGTAATGGCTCCTCTTGAGTGCCTTGTTGAGAGGTTTCGGATCAATGCACACTCTTAGTTTTCCAGATGGTTTCTTCACTACGATCAGGCTGCTAATCCAATCTGTGCTTTTATCATCCTTCTTTGCTCTAGACCACTGAGCTCCTCTTTGAGTGGTTTATATAGTGCTACTGGCACTCTTCTCTTTGGCAGCTGGACAGGCTCCACCCGCTCATCCACTTCCAGCTTCAGTTTGCCGGGTAAGCATCCATCTCCCTGGAATACATCAGAGTACTCTTGTTTAATTTGCTCTTTAGTCCAGGATCCTGTTGTTTACTCGATGGCCAGGATGTTGTGATGCTGCACAGTAATCAACTCCATTGCCTGGATAGCCTTACTGCCTAGAATGGGCCTGTGCACATTCTTGTTGACTACGATGAACTCAACTCGGTAGATTTTCTTATTGCGTGGATTGGTCACTTTAAGTGTGCACTTCCCCAGTTGCGTCAGAGTACTCTTGTTATACATCACCAATACCTGACTGCAGGGCTCTAGGTGACTGGCTTTTATGAGGTTTGCAGGGATAACATTACAACTAGCACCACAATCTAGCTGAAATCTGACTGACTTTTTGTTGACCAGTATGGTTGCAAAGAGAGCTGCATTGTGGTCTGTGGTTTTCTCCTGCACCATGTTGATGCTCTCTGACTTTGGCCCTAGTGTGATGCAGAGAACATCCTCACCGCTCTCTGAGTCAGATAACACATTTTCCATTGCCAGGACTCTGTTTCTCTTGCTGGTCCCTGCACTTTTGTAAACCGTAGAGAAGTGATTGTTTTTTCCACAGGATTTAAATTTTTGTCCATATGCAGGGTATTTTTAATTTTTTCTCTCATGTGTCCGTCCACAGTATCTGCATTGTATAATGCTCTGTCCCTCTGTAGCGTCTCCTCTCCCTCTCTGTCTATCTTTCTGTGTGACTGCATGCACTGCTACAGGGCCCTGCACATTTATGACTAGCTCTCTGTCTGGACAGTTCTGCAGCTCTGCCAATCTGTATGCATTTCGCATTTCTCTAAACTGAGATCAGTCTCTCTGAGTAAGTGCTCTCTTAAGTGTGGGTCACATGTGCCACACACAATCCTGTCCCTGATAAGAGTCAGTGATTACTCCAAAGTTGCAGGTGGCCACTAGTCCTCAATTCAGTGAGATATTTGTCTAAACTCTCATCTTGGCCCTGACTTCCCATGAAAAAAGTATATCTCTCAATTGTTTCATTTTTCTTGGGATCACAAAATGCATCCAGTGTTGCAATTACTTCCTCAACAGAGAGATTGTCTTTTGTCCTGCCCACACATAGTCTCACAAAGCTCTGCCTTTTCCCCCAATGAGATAATACAGTAGCTTCACTTTGTAATCCTCAGGTTTTTCTCTCATTGTAAGAGCCATGTACAAATTGAATTCCCCTTTCCATCTTTTCCAGGTCAGTACTAAATTACAATCATCAAAGTCTATTTTCCCCGGAGGTTTCAGTGCATTTTCCATTGCGATATATTCGTAGAATGGAACGTTAGCTACTCACGAATCTGCTTGTATCCAATAGCCAGCTTGCTATTGGATACGATAGCTAGCTAACGTTAACGTTCGGCGCGATGACTAGCCTTTAAACTCGGCACTTTTTCAAACTGCCGCCTGGGATGTATTCTTCCTTTACATCGATGAGATCCAGGTTATTTTGAGTACCGCTGGCACCATGTTTCAATATGCTTTGCGTTGTAGTCACGACAGACAAAGATATATAGTTAAGCAAACTTTACTAGGCATGTTGTCAACCCGCACATTCATACAGTAAGTCCCAACTGGTTTCCGTTTCCTGTGTAACATCAATATGAGTAACATCAATATTGCTACAGGAAGCATTGGCGTCAACATCCCTGTGGAACACTTTAGACACGTTGTAGATTCCATGCCCCCCAACGACATGAGGCTGTTCTGAGGGCAAAAGGGGGTGCAACTCAATATTGGTGTTCTTCAACTCAATATTAGGATGGTGTTCTTAATGTTTTGTACACTCAGTGTATACATACTGTCATTGGTCTATGCCCCATTGTTTGTTTGTCAATGTCATGGCTGCATACATTATTTACAAACTCACATCTAAACCACCTAAAACGAACGATACAAATCTATAATGTTAATGTAACTTATCAGTATTGTAACTAGCCAGCTAGCTACATATTTTGTCACTAGCTATTTTGTTTCGTGTGTCGCGTGCTCACTGCTCAAGTAGCCAGCGTCGTCAACGGTTACAATCGGTAATTGACTGCATAGAAAGCCAGCTAGCCAGTCATAGGCAAATGTGTTGCATGTTGTTTACGCAAATATCATCAGATAGCCAAGTACAAACTACAAGGCTAGTAGAGGTTGTCAAAAAGGAAGCTTCAAGATCCTGATAACAGTAAGAAAGTGATATAGTCACATTTTTGTTAGCCAACGTTAATGTAAGTTGACCAGTGTTAGCTGCAGCCAACCAGCCAGGCAGTTTGCAAATAGTTGACATTATGGCCGATAGTAGTGGTCATTGGCCAAAGGCTGTTCCTTCATATTTCTTCTGATCTAGCTAAATATATATATATTTTGTATCTAAATGCATATCAGGTAAGCATATCGCAATTAGTGATGTTAGGCATAGCTAATTTTATCAGGGGTCCACCCTATGTTCCTTCAGCCTTATGTTCCCTCAGCCTTATGTTCCCTCACCCCTATGTTCCCTCAACCTATGTTCCCTCAGCCCTATGTTCCCTCATCCCTATGTTCCCTCAGTACCCACTGAACCAATTTCAATCAAAATTGGCACAAACGCTTAATTGTCCAAATAATTTGTATTGTAATCAAATTTGGCCTTGTTTGGGGATGGAGATCATTAGAATAATTCCCAGTGTGCTTTGCAGATGTTCATTTTCACGTAACATTTTGTTCATTTAGCAGACGCTTTTATCACACCATAGTGCCATCACACTTCTGACACCAATGCAGTACATTTGGGGTGATAGGGTGGCACAAATTGGTGAGCCGCTATAAAAATGGTATAGAAAAGTATTACAAAATACATTGCATTGTAGTTCAGGCCAGTGAAATATAAATGACAAAATATTCAAAAGTAATTGAAATACGTATTTCTGTTCCATCATGCAACAGTGGATCAACTCACCAAAAGACATATGTACATCAAGGGTGTAAAAAATATAAGCTATGTCAAATATTTGGTATCACTCACTTTTTTCCGTCGCCCCCCGCCCCCTCGACCCCTGGTTTAGAACATAAGGCTGAGGAAACATAGGGCTGAGGTAACATAGGGCCCAAGGAACAAAGGGCTGAGAGAACATAGGGCTGAGGGAACATAGGGCTGAGGGAACATAGGGCTGAGGGAACATAGGACTGAGGGAACATAGGGCTGAGGAAACATAGGGCCCAGGGAACAAAGGGCTGAGGGAACATAGACATGGTCCCCTTTATCATATCACATGATGTAATCTGAATTTCTCTCCTCCAGAACAATCACCACCATGCGTCGCAGAAGATCAGCTTGTAGTGTCAATTCTGACAGCAGTGATATCGATATTGATCTCTTAGGTATGCGTTTTCACAGTTCACCTACCTACAAGCATTCAATAGCATATGTTGCATGACTAAGACATGTCCTTTTACCTGATACCCTACCCATTTCTATCCCATAACACATTAGGATACACTTACCAGTTTTCAATGTTGTGTGTTGCAGCTGAGACAGAGTTGAGCAAACTCCAGAGACAGTTTCGCATCATGGAAGGAGACAGGCAGGTGTACAACGTAGAATCACAGGATCTCATTCGCAGACAGCTGTGAGGATCTTTTCCTCTTAAAGACTGAAAACAGTGAAGATCACTCATTAAGATTCAGTGTACCTCTCAAGTTGTCTTTTGCTATGTTTACCTGGACATTCAAACTATACTGTATGCCCATGACAACTTAGTGTGGGACCCGTGTACTCCGTTCTGCCTCCTCTGGTCACTTGGCCCCCCCCCCCCCCCCCCCCCCCAGCTCCCGCTCAACCCAGTCAAAGCTCTTGTCTGTCCTGGCACCCCAATGGTGGAACGAGCTTCCCGCTGATGTTAGGACAGCGGAGTCCCTGCCCATCTCCCGAAAACGTCTGAGAACCTACCTCTTCAAAGAGTATCTTAAAGTCCTACTCCAGTCTCCTTTTCACCAGATTTACTTAACAAAAGGCTCTTAATAGGTGGTCCAGGTATCCTCATGAAATTAGGATTTTTGTTTTGTTCTCTATTGCTCCTCTATTGTTCCCACAAGCAAGAGGGGGAGGCCGATGACATCAGAGAGCACCATAAGACCAACTCCTTGAAGTTTGCAGTTGTGTCTAAAAAAACATTATTTGCTCAAAACATACTATTTTACCCTTAGGTGTGTGTACATTACTGTATTTATACGTGGGATATTGTTTTTCAAAAGGAAAAGTTCAAAAATAGCTGGAGTGCGTCTTTACATACCCCCCCCCCCCCCCCCCCCCCCCCAATTTGTTTGAAATAAATTAAACCCTTGCTTTTCGTGAAGTAACACTCGCACTTGACTTTTTTCCTATTAGCACTGACTTTGCTGATGGCTACTTTGAGGAAAAATGTACTTACTATGACTGAGATATGTGGTTTTCTCACCTAGCTATCTTAAGATGAACGCACTAACTGTAAGTCACTCTGGATAAGAGCGTCTGCTAAATGACTTAAATGTAAAATGTAATAAAAATGAGTTTAGTTGGAGCAACGTGGCCAGCCCAGCCACTGCCAACTGAACTGGCCTAATTGCTAACAAAAGGTTTTTAAAACAGTATGATTAAGTGTAGTACAGTGTACCGCCATATCAGTGCTAACTCTGCCTCTAGTAAGAGCACTGAGTCCAGTATGACACAAGCACATGGCTTCTTCCTCTGACACTGAAACGGTGCATGTCTGTTACCCAACCAGGAGGGAGATCCAAAGGCTCCATGGTGAACGCGAGGAACTTCTCCGTAGCCTGCGTGTCTCAGAGAGTCCATTCCGACGCTGGGATGACGCAGACGCCACGCAAAATCTGAGCAGCATGCTGGTGTACCGCGACAGGGTGGAGGAGCAACTCGACTCTGAACAAGGGAAAATGACTTATCTGAGACAGGAGGTGTTTGTATTGATGATTGGTTTGTTACAAACATCATAGATGTGAATTGTCCAGATAATCAGGAATTCATGATAGTTTAACCTCATCTTACCCATGCTAGAAACTGACTTTACCCCCAAACCTGCAGGTGTAGCAGATGGGAATCTGTGAAACTCATTCCTCAGCCTGAAGTGTCGCCCCTTGCGCTGTTGAAGAAGGCTTTTTTCAATAGCACGATGGGTTGGAACTCTTCAGGAGGGCGGTCACGTGTTTGGGAGGTTGTGAGTTTGAGAGCTGAATCAGAGGGGAAGCAGTATTCACTAAGCAAGAAGCGTGACATCCTTTACAATGGTGCTGTGACCTGGATCTGCAGCTGCACTCAGCTCAACCGCTGGGGTTGCTGTGGAGTGAGTTTGGGGGGTGAATGTAGCAGATGGGGACCTGTGAAACTCATTCCTCAGCTTGAAGTGTCGCCCCTACCGCTGTTGAATAAGGCCTTTTTCAATAGCGCAGAGTTCCTAAATTTGAGTCTCTGTATAAGCTGAATCAGGCGGAAGCGCTAAGCAAACAGCATGAAGTCCTTTACACAGGCCTATATCTTTTTCTAATGTATTTTATTTTAATCACCTCCGATTGACAATGTTTTATTCTTGCTCAAATACCTAGTGATTTATTTGCTTATCTGCTGTTATCTGCTTCTTCTGTGGTAGATTTTGACTTGGGAGAGTAAGCTGGCTGGCCAGAGGAGAGGAGGGAGCACCACATGCCTCAGTCAGAAGTCGGAGGCCAACCAGACACAGAAGGACAGCCTCATCTTGGAGAACAAACTGGACAGGGTTAGCAGTAGCCTGAGTGCCCGTGTGTTTCTGCTCTCTTGCCAACTCCTTATGGAATTGTCATGGTGTTGACATGCCACCCATGTCTTTGCACCAGGGTCGTGTTCGCTTCAACAAGCTGTTGGCCAAGAACGGGCAGCTGAGAGAGGAGCTGAAGATCCTGCACGTGGAGAGGAAGCAGTTCCTCCCCCTCTACTGCAGGATGGAGAGGGTAGAGCTCACAGCACCATATAAATCAAATTACTAGAATGGGTAATGAATTGGGATGCACCCAATTCACTGAGCACTGTTGTATTCCTGTCTGTCCTTCAGGAGCTGCAGGAAATTCGCAAGGACATCCGAGACATGATGGCTCAGTCCACTGCTGCCTTTAAGGCCAGGTAATACATACAGCTTTTTTGTGTTGATGTGTTTTTGAGTAGAAAAAGGTTATTTGGTCTGCATTGTAGAAAACAGACTAAAACAGGGAGGGACTACCTGAACTTATTCTTTTTTTTTCATGCAAATGTTTTGTGATGGTGTGCCCTAATGAATATGACCCTCCAGAGTGGAGGCTTGGTGCAAACGGATGCTGCTGAAGGAGAAAAAGGTGAAGGACTTGACCCAGTATGGCACGGAGGTGAGCGAGCTGCAGCGGGTCATCTCCCACGACCACCGCCTCAAGATCTTCATGAGCATCAAGGGCAATGAGTGCAGCAGCCAGGAGGAGGGCCAGGACCTGAGCTGCAGACAGGGTCATAGATGAGATACTTATTATAGGCCTTGTTATAAGACATTATAAAGGCTTATACATGCTGATGACAAGTGACAGAGCATTATATCTGTATGCTTTAATTCACACAATGACAAATGACTAAATCAAATACGCAGCACCATGGCTTTTCAGCAGCCCAATTATTTTATCAAAATATATTTAATGTTTGAGATTCTTAAAATAGCCACCCTTTGCCTTGATGACAGCTTTGCACACTCTTGGCATTCTCTCAACCAGCTTCATGAGATAGTCACCTGGAATGCATTTCAATTAACAGGTGTGCCTTCTTAAAAGTTAATTTGTGAAATGTATTTCCTTCGTAATGCGTTTGAGCCAATCAGTTGTGTTGTGACAAGGTAGGGAGGGTATACAGAAGATAGCCCTATTTGGTAAAATACCAAGTCCATATTATGTCAAGAACAGCTCAAATAAGCAAAGAGAAACAACAGTCCATCATTACTTGAAGACATGAACGTCAGTCAATATGGAACGTTTCAAGAACTTTGAACGTTTCTTCAAGTGCAGTCGCAAATAACCATCAAGCGTTATTATGAAACTGGCTCTCATGAGGACTGCCACAGGAATGGAAGACCCAGAGTTACCTCTGCTGCAGATGATATGTTCATTAGAGTTACCAGCCTCAGAAATTGGAGCCCAAATAAATGCTTCACAGAGTTCAAGTAACAGACACATCTCAACATCAACTGTTCAGAGGAGACTGTGTGAATCAGGCCTTCATGGTCGAATTGCTGCAAAGAAACCACTACTAAAGGACACCAATAAGAAGAAGAGACATGCTTGGGCCGAGAAACACGAGCAATGGACATTAGAATGGTGGAAATCTGTCCTTTGGTCTGATGAGTCCAAATGTGAGATTTCTGGTTCCAACCACCGTGGCTTTGTGAGACGCGGTGTGGGTGAACGGATGATCTCTGCATGTGTATTTCCCACCTTAAAGCATGGAGGAGGAGGTGTTATGGTGTGGGGGTGCTTTGCTGGTGACACTGTCTGTGATTTATTTAGAATTCAAGGCACGCTTAACCAGCATGGCTCCTGAAGCATTCTGCAGCCATACGCCATCCCATCTGGTTTGCGCTTAGTGGGACTATCATTTGTTTTTCAACAGGACAATGACTCAACACAACTCCAGGCTGTGTAAGGGCTATTTTACCAAGAAGGAGAGTGATGGAGTGCTGCATCAGATGACCTGGCCTCCACAATCCCCCAAATTCAACCCAATTGAGATGGTTTGGGATGAGTCGGACCGCAGAGTAAAGGAAAAGCAGCCAACAAGTGCTCAGCATATGTGGTAACTCCTTCAAGACTGTTGGAAAAGCATTCCAGGTGAAGCTGGTTGAGAGAATGCCAAGAGTGTGCAAAGCTGTCATCAAGGCAAAGGGTGGCTATTTGAAGAATCTCAAATAATAAATATATTTTGATTTGTTTATCACTTTTTTGGTTACTACATGATTCCATATGTGTTATTTCATAGTTTTGATGTCTTCACTATTATTCTACAATGTAGAAAATAGTAAAAATAAAGAAAAACCCTAGAATGAGTAGGTGTGTCCAAACCTTTGACTGGTACTGTATATCTGTCTGACTCTGACCTCTAACCTCTGTCTTTAGTGGAGGAGAGGCAGCGCAGGAGACTGGGACTGGACACTCAGGGAGGGGCTTTTGGGACTCTCGATTCCCTGCAGGAGACCTTCCACAAGATCCACTGTGTCACAGGGGAGGAGGACCTGCACAAGCTAGTGGGGACCTTCATTCAGAGTGAGTCACAAAGCCATGTCACCTCAGCAAAGGGGCACCTCTTAACTTCCAAAAGAATCACTTACATTTACTTTATTATGGAAATATGATAAGGAAATATGCAGGCCTCATAGTTTAGGCCCTCAAGAGTATGCTCCTTAACTCTCAAACTACCGACATACACTGCTCAAAAAAATTAAGGGAACACTAAAATAACACATCCTAGATCTGAATGAATGAAATAATCTTATGAAATACTTTTTTCTTTACATAGTTGAATGTGCTGACAACAAAATCACACAAAAACGATCAATGGAAATCAAATGTATCAACCCATGGAGGTCTGGATTTGGAGTCACCCTCAAAATTAAAGTGGAAAACCACACTACAGGCTGATCCAACTTTGATGTAATGTCCTTAAAACAAGTCAAAATGAGGCTCAGTAGTGTGTGTGGCCTCCACGTGCCTGTATGACCTCCCTACAACGCCTGGGCATGCTCCTGATGAGGTGACGGATGGTCTCCTGAGGGATCTCCTCCCAGACCTGGACTAAAGCATCCGCCAACTCCTGGACAGTCTGTGGTGCAACGTGGCGTTGGTGGATGGAGCGAGACATGATGTCCCAGATGTGCTCAATTGGATTCAGGTCTGGGGAACGGGCGGGCCAGTCCATAGCATCAATGCCTTCCTCTTGCAGGAACTGCTGACACACTCCAGCCACATGAGGTCTAGCATTGTCTTGCATTAGGAGGAACCCAGGGCCAACCGCACCAGCATATGGTCTCACAAGGGGTCTGAGGATCTCATCTCGGTACCTAATGGCAGTCAGGCTACCTCTGGCGAGCACATGGAGGGCTGTGCGGCCCCCCAAAGAAATGCCACCCCACACCATGACTGACCCACCGCCAAACCGGTCATGCTGGAGGATGTTGCAGGCAGCAGAACGTTCTCCACGGCGTCTCCAGACTCTGTCACGTCTGTCATGTGCTCAGTGTGAACCTGCTTTCATCTGTGAAGAGCACAGGGCGCCAGTGGCGAATTTGCCAATCTTGGTGTTCTCTGGCAAATGCCAAACGTCTTGCACGGTGTTGGGCTGTAAGCACAACCCCCACCTGTGGACGTCGGGCCCTCATACCACCCTCATGGAGTCTGTTTCTGACCGTTTGAGCAGACACATGCACATTTGTGGCCTGCTGGAGGTCATTTTGCAGTGCTCTGGCAGTGCTCCTCCTGCTCATCCTTGCACAAAGGCGGCGGTAGCAGTCCTGCTGCTGGGTTGTTGCCCTCCTACGGCCTCCTCCACGTCTCCTGATGTACTGGCCTGTCTCCTGGTAGCGCCTCCATGCTCTGGACACTACGCTGACAGACACAGCAAACCTTCTTGCCACAGCTCGCATTGATGTGCCATCCTGGATGAGCTGCACTACCTGAGCCACTTGTGTGGGTTGTAGACTCCGTCTCATGCTACCACTAGAGTGAAAGCACCGCCAGCATTCAAAAGTGACCAAAACATCAGCCAGGAAGCATAGGAACTGAGAAGTGGTCTGTGGTCACCACCTGCAAAACCAGTCTTTTATTGGGGGTGTCTTGCTAATTGCCTATAATTTCCACCTGTTGTCTATTCCATTTGCACAACAGCATGTGAAATGTATTGTCAATCAGTGTTGCTTCCTATGTGGACAGTTTGATTTCACAGAAGTGTGATTGACTTGGAGTTACATTGTGTTGTTTAAGTGTTCCCTTTATTTTTTTGAGCAGTGTATTTTACATACATGGATTATTGCCAAGAACTTTTAAGAAGAAACTATTGGAAAAAGCAACAATCATAGCTAAATATAAACTTAATTATTTTAAAACATCATTAGACATGTAAATAATGTTATCTGAAATGAAAAATAACCAAAACAATTCATTAGCATGATATGTCAAATGTAGATATACATTTTTCCCTTAGATAATGTGCAGCTTTTTTCAAAAGTACAATCCACATTAGTACTAAAAAGCTAATTTACAACCATTTGATTGTAGTATCATTTTGTTTTTTTAATTTTAAAGTAAATATTAATGTTGTCATATTTATGTGGTAAAAAACAAAATTAGAAATAGCCTATACTTAATGTTATTGACAAAAAGTGATTCATCCATTGATCCGGAGAGATTGCTTAGTTTTCTTTATTTACTTACCCCACAGCCAACATTAGTATTGCTGCTTGTGAAACAATGGGAGTGGTAGGGCCTATGGCAGAATGCTTCAAAAGAGCATGCCCAAAGCCTCAAATTCACTTCAAACTAAATGTTATAGCAACCAAAATACCATAACAAGTTGCAAATATAGAATATTGGAGGGTATTATAAGAATTCTGGTATTTAGTTCAAATGTTCCTAGTGGTTAAGAGTGTTGGGCTAGTAACCGAAAGGTCTCTAGTTCGAATCCCTGCAACCGAATAGCTGAAAAATCTGTCGATGTGCCCTTGAGCAAGGCACCCTAATTGCTCTTGTAAGTCGTTCTGAATAAGAGCGTCTGCCAGTGGAGGCTCCTCAGAAGAGGAAGGGGAGGACCATCCTCCTCAGTGAATTTCATACAAATAAAAATTGTAACACATTGAAAAAGTTATCATTTTTAGATGAAACTTTACTAAATATATTCACGTCACCAAATAATTGATTAAAACACACTGTTTGGCAAGGAAGGTCTACAGTAGCCTCAACAGCACTCTGTAGGGTAGCACCATGGTGTAGCCGGAGGACAGCTAGCTTCCGTCCTCCTCTTGGTACATTGACTTTAATACAAAACCTAGAAGAATCTTGGTTCTCACCTCCTTCCATAGACTTACACAGTAATTATGACAACTTCCGGAGGACGTCCTCCAACCTATCAGAGCTCTTGCAGCATGAACTGACATGTTGTCCACCCAATCAAAGGATCAGAGAATGAATCTAGTACTGAAAGCATAAGCTACAGCTAGCTAGCACTGCAGTGCATAACATTTGGTGAGTAGTTGACTCAAAGAGTCACTTACTTAGCTAGCAAATGCAGCTGGCTAGTTTAGTTACTCAAACACCTGGCTCAAACAGAGGGATGCTATGTTAGTTAGCTGGCTATGACTATCCAACACAACACTGGAACTTTTCCAAGTCAATGTAAGCTTTTGGTTTTATAATTTTATTGCCACCGGGGACCGCAGGTGTAACTGTTTACTGACTATACACTGTAATGTTACTGCATGATTGTAGCGGGTTTACTAACACATTAGTTCTATTAGCTATGTTGACTAGGACGTTACTTTAGCTAATATGGGGACAACGATGTAGGCTGTGTGTAGAGGTTATGACATGGTTTGGCTTGGAAAGTTTTTTTAGCCTGGTCACATACAGCTGATGTGTGGTTCATTGTAGTCCACAAATGAAGGGAAAAGGTGAGAGGGACTGCTATGAAAGTGATCTGTGCTTATGCGTGATCAGGGGTGTATTCATTCAGCCGATTCTGTTGAAGAACTTTTCTTAAACGGACCAAATGAAACAGGGATCAAAATACCTGAATTTGTCTCGTTTGCATCTGTTGGACTAATGATTACACCCTAGATAAGCTAGATACAGGCAAGAGTGTGCAAGGCGGTATTAAATGTGTCACTGTCTGTCCATGTGTCACTGTCATCTCAAATTGTTCTCTTCACCTGTGTGCACCTACGTTGTAAACTTTAATTAATAGGCTAGGTTGTAGCAACCTCATGATGGGTATAGGTAACATTTGAGTATCATGTAGGAGCCTAAACCTATCGATGTTACATTGAGCTGGGTGAATGGAATATGAATGACAGTCAACCAACATGCTGTAATAGAAATAAGGCCATGCTCATGAAAAAAAAATGGTCCTCCCTCTTCATAAACGGCACTGAACGCCACTGGTGTCTGCTAAATGATGCTCAATGTAATACAGCACTGTGCACATTCAGAAGGTAGATGGTTTCTGTAATTAAAGTTCTACCAAGTATTCATACCACTGACAATACTTTTATGAGCTGTTTTGACTGAAACTACATTTACATTACATTTACATTTACGTCATTTAGCAGACGCTCTTATCCAGAGCGACTTACAGTTAGTTTATTTTTCATACTGGCCCCCCTTGGGAATCAAACCCACAACCCTGGCGTTGCAAACGCCATGCTCTACCAACTGAGCTACATCCCTGCCGGCCATTCCCTCCCCTACCCTGGACGACGCTGGGCCAATTGTGCGCCGCCCTATGGGTCTCCCGGTCGCGGCCGGCTACGACAGAGCCTGGATTCGAACCAGGATCTCTAGTGGCACAGCTAGCACTGCGATGCAGCGCCTTAGACCACTGCGCCACTCGGGAGATCTATAGCGTATAACTAATTTAGATTTTGTACACGGTCATACCTAGTTATAACCAGTATAACCATAGGCGAGTACATAAGGTGCTCCATCTTTGCATGTGATCTGTCTATCTGGTCAAGATCACTCCACCCTCTGATAAAATAAGATACAATGGGGAGAACAAGTATTTGATACACTGCCGATTTTGCAGGTTTTCCTACTTACAAAGCATGTAGAGGTCTGTAATTGTTATCATAGGTACACTTCAACTGTGAGAGACGGAATCTAAAACAAAAATCCAGAAAATCACATTGTATGATTTTTAAGTAATTAATTAGCATTTTATTGCATGACATAAGTATTTGATCACCTACCAACCAGTAAGAATTCCGGCTCTCACAGACCTGTTAGTTTTTCTTTAAGAAGCCCTCCTGTTCTCCACTCATTACCTGTATTAACTGCACCTGTTTGAACTCGTTACCTGTATAAAAGACACCTGTCCACACACTCAATCAAACAGACTCCAACCTCTCCACAATGGCCAAGACCAGAGAGCTGTGTAAGGACATCAGGAATAAAATTGTAGACCTGCACAAGGCTGGGATGGGCTACAGGACAATAGGCAAGCAGCTTGGTGAGAAGGCAACAACTGTTGGCGCAATTATTAGAAAATGGAAGAACTTCAAGATGACGGTCAATCACCCTCGGTCTGGGGCTCCATGCAAGATCTCACCTCGTGGGGCATCAATGATCATGAGGAAGGTGAGGGATCAGCCCAGAACTACACGGCAGGACCTGGTCAATGACCTGAAGAGAGCTGGGACCACAGTCTCAAAGAAAACCATTAGTAACACACTACGCCGTCATGGATTAAAATCCTGCAGCGCACGCAAGGTCCCCCTTAAAAATTACAGACCTCTACATGCTTTGTAAGTAGGAAAACCTGCAAAATCGGCAGTGTATCAAATACTTGTTCTCCCCACTGTATATCCCAGTCAGTAGTTTGAGGGTTAAACAAGGTCTGTGTTGACACAAGAGGCCTATCTAAGATCTATTTTGTTATATTTGTAACTGTGATAAATACATTTTGTGTTTGTGCATCCTACAGTTGAAGAACAGAACTTTGCTTTGCTAAACTTTGTTAACGAGCAGAACAACGAAGCCGAGACCTTGAAGGACGAAATCAACCAGGTCTGTATGAAATTGAAACTACATGCATGTTTACCTTTGAAATAAGTAATTTCTTTGGATGTTGTGCTTTAATGCACACAGTAAACTACAGGGCACCTTCCTTTCTATTTGGCCACTTTGTTAAATGTAGCCAACTAACTGGAGGAGTGTGTGCGTGTGTGTATTATTGTGGTCCTCTGTAGCTCAGCTGGTAGAGCACGGCGCTTGTAACGCCAAGGTAGTGGGTTCGATCCCCGGGACCACCCATACACAAAAAAAATAAAAAAAATAATGTATGCACGCATGACTGTATGTCGCTTTGGATAAAAGCGTCTGCTAAATGGCATATTATTTATTAATTGTATTATATTGTGCTTTCATGTGTCCATTAGGTGCCTCTTCTACCTTTGTGTTCAACCTGGTCTCAGAGCATTTCATATTATTCTGTATGTAAATCCGAGGATTCCATTTAGTATGATATGTTAAGTTTCGTATGGTATGTATTAATTTGTGGATGTCCATCACCCATTTCGTATGATATGTTAAAAATTACAATTCATACAATATGTTACGAATTAGCAAAACGTACAATATGTTACGAATTAGCAAAATTAATGAAATGTTACAAATTCTAGCTAGGTGGCTAACATTAGCTTGCTGGCTAACGTTAGCTAGGCTAGAGGTTAGGGTTAAATTTAGGAGTTAGGTTAAAGGGTTAAGGTTAGCTAAAAGGGTTAAAGTTAGGGTTAGCTAATTAGCTAAAAAGCAAAAGTTGTCCGTGATGAGATTGTCCGTGATGTGCCTACCCATCCACCCCGACCAACCACCCTACTTTCGTTTTTGACTTAAGTAACCATCTGTCTTATGTAACCATACCAAACGTAACATATACTACTAATTTGAGTGTTCTGGATTTACATTTACTATGTTATGTCTAGTCTATGAGACCAGGCTGTGTGTGCCACAGATCCGCTGTGAGATGGAGGTGTTCTCCAGAGAGGAGCGCAGGCAGCATGAGGAGCACAGGGCCATGCTGCAGGGGGTCAATGTGCAGCAGCAGGCCACAGAGCAGCAGGTGGGGGCCTACCAGCAGCTCATCACCTCAGTGGGGAAGATCCTCAACCAGCTCAAGACAGGTATGGATGGGAAAGAATGGTTTGTTTTGTTCCAGCCCAGAACTAGCTACATCTTACGACTATGACTTCCCTTCCTGTGGAGGCCTTAATAAGCTACTTACTATTACTTCTAGTACTAATACTACTGTAACTACTACAACTATTACTACTAACTAACTATTTTCTTCCAATTCAACTGAATCAAGAGTGTGTTAGTTGAATCAGGTGTGTTAGTGCTGGGCTGTAACAAAATGTGCACCTCCTGGGGGTCTCGTCTCTCAATGCAGTGAAGAGACTCACAGAGTGCCAGTCTCTTTCTGCTTCTTTAGACAACCAGATTGAGAAGCCTAATTTCTTCCTGTGTGTTTCCGTGCACCAGGAATAGATAGTGTGTGCCACAACATAGACTGTGACCTGTCAGTGATCGAGGACAAGTTAGGCTCCTCGACCGGGATCCGGGACAGCACCATCATGACTTACCTGGGATTGGTGGAGCGCAGGACCAATGAGCTGCTGACTTTGCAGTCTTTCCTCAGCTCCAAGGTAATTTCAATGTCACATCATAAAAATGCATTCATCCCTCCTTCATTGCTTCTCTGGAGTAAAACGGATCCGAAATGACTGGATTGATGAAAGCTATTGTAATGTAGTGGAACCCTACTACTACTATCTAACTGCTTTTAACTATCAAATTGTGTCAGATCAGGGATAGGCTATATCAGTGGAGGGAAGGTGGAAGTATAGATTTTAGAAGTGAACAGAGCCTCAGTGAAGTGTTGACCTTGATCCATTTTATTTTGTTCTCTGTCTCCGCTCCAGGACCTTGATAAAGATTACAATCCTAGAATGGTTGCCAGACACGTCCTCGGACAAAGTCCACCACTGGTTAGGCAAAACAAAATGGTTGAGCCTCCCATTTCTGGGTATGTGTGTGTGTTTGTGTTCAATATAGAAGCTGCTACATCTAATGCCGGAAAGGGATGACAATGAACAGTCAATGGGACAGCGGCAAGTTTGTTTGCAATCCTGTAACAATAACCTATGTAATAAAATACATGGGGTTCTGTTTCTGAAATATACCCGACGATGCAGTTATATCCACTTTGCAGCTCATGTTTTCTTTTTAACCTGTGCTGCAGCGTAGGGAAACTTTTTAACCAACTGTATTTACAACCTTGCCGGAGGACAAACTAGTTTGCTATTCTAGGACAAACTAGTGTGCTATTTTAAGAGCCTAGTTTGCTATTTTAGTAGTAGGAACCTACATTTTCAGTTTTCTGACATTCATAAGGAAATAGTAAGTGAAAGCAATACTTGGAAGTGTGGTAACCATAACTTATAGTTTTACTCTATGGTGGTAACGTAAGACTACTATTTTAGGGATGCCAATGACCCAGAGGAGTCCCTGCTAACAGACAAGGTGAAGCCCCTCTCCAAGGACGAGCTGCTCCCGCTGGTAATGACGAGGGTGAGGCCTTCCCTTCACTCAACGTGGACCACCACAGCCATATAGCCAGGGATGGCCAACCTGGCTCTAGTTTAACCCTCAATCGGTAGCAAAATAGTGTCCACAATAGATGTTTAAAGTATAGAAATATCATCCATACCTGATCATTTTTATTGTAATACTATGGGGGCTCTGAGTTTGGTGCCATTATGGATTGATGGCATTCTGAATTGCCTACAGCACACATAACAAAATACTGTTTCGTTGGGTTGTTTTCTGCCACAGATGCAGAGGAAGGCGAAGATCGTCCAACCAGAGGTCCGAAAATCAGCCTCCAAACTCAGCGTTGTGGCCAGCAGAATCCGCCGCGGCTCCCTGGGACTCTGAACTCATCATCCTTTTATGAATTTTGATTGGGACACACAAACTGCAATAGTTTATTGACCTCATCCCTGGTAGTGTGACTTTATCCCTGGTAGTGTGACCTCATCCTTGGTAGTGTGACCTCATCCCTGGTAGCTGCAGACTGGGGGACAGCAGGAGGCCCACTCCTGTGGAAAGCAGCATCACAGCCCAGCTTTCATCAGCCATTCATAATCTCTTACTTTTATTAAATTTACATTTTAGTCATTTAGCAGATGCTCTTATCCAGAGCGACTTACAGTTAGTGAGTGCATACATTTTCATACTGGCCCCCCGTGGGAAACGAACCCACAACCCTGGCGGTGCAAGCGCCATGCTCTACCAACTGAGCTACAGGGGACATATCATTTTATAATGCTCCATTAGTTGCAAAATTGAGTTTAAATTAATTGAAGTATTCATTATTTGTTAATCAAATAAAATATTCTGTGGTGTAAGCGTTTAAAGTAAATAAATAAATAATTGTAATCAGAATAAATGCGTCAGCCTCTCCACTAATGGCAAAGGTTCATAAAGACGTCTTTTTCGGTTTTCCAGATTGGCAGCGTCTTGGAGCAAAAATGTGTATCATGTATACTGTGTTAATGACGATACAAAAGAAGAGTAATGTAGAGCAAAGTACAATACGGCAAATGCCACATTTTTGGTAAGTGTATGGGGTGTATTTATAGATTTTACTTAGATAGTCTACATGTGTGTAATTTCAAAAGCACTTTTTCGTACAAGACATTAGAACAAACACACAATCAACATTTTTATAAAATGATCAAAATATCAGATTTTTTGAAAATCAGTTTTCCACATCAAAACAGTTGCTGACATGACAAATAGTACATATATAATCACATTTTGTTAAGAAAAAGATTTTCATGGAATGTGCACATTAAACAATCCTTGAGAACTAAACAATCAAAACACTAGGCCTAGCTACAAATTACAAACAGTAAAATTAAATAACTAGCTACTTCATCATTTTCATGTGCTGCCTGATTCTGCTCTGTCATAATCATTAGTGTTGAATCATTAATGTTTGATCAAAATGATGATTATGGCACTTCACCACTTCACGTAGCCCTCTAGTCCTGGTCAGTCCCACAGAACACCACCTTGCTCTCCAGTCGAGCCCGCTCAGCCTCAAACACCAGCTTGTGGCTCAGCAGGGTCTCCTCTGGTCCCGAACGAATAAAAGATGCATCTCCACTCTGTACGTGACACACGCAAACACAAGTCACATTTTTTCCATCCACATGAGTATAATGTAAGGTTATTATGAGTGATACTGCAAAAGGTGTCATGACTGGTTTTGTAAAGGTGTTATGAATGCCCTATGTATACCCCTTCAAGTAAAGACTTAAGTTAAGAGTTAAGAGATTTTACAGCACCCAAAACCATTCTGTGATTTTATTGAACCAGGTACTGCAACAGCGTAAATGGGGGTTTGATTAAATCCTAACAAAGATCTAGATAACTCAAATAATATTTAGTTGCACAACATCAATGTATAATTAACACAAGCCTAAGTCAAAGCACAGATCTCAAGTTTAAAAAAATATTATCGGCCCTCAATGTTGACATTCACACAGGCTCCCAGCACTCACCGCCACAGCAGAGATGAAGGCTTCCACCAGTTGGTAGTCCGCCCCGCCGTGCCCGCCCATGCCAAAGGCCCCTGGGGCGCTAGTCTCTGCCGTGTGCTTGGTGGCCCTCCCTGTGAGGAAGTCAAACACTCGAATCTCATGTCCGTTATACGACAGCTCCCCCTATAGGAACAAAACAATAATTACATGATCAGAACATTTTCCGCATTTGCAGGAGGTTATCTTTATGTACTAAGATCAGACAGTAGCCAAATACATCCAGCTCTAGATTTACTGCTACTACAAATACAGACGATTATTTATAAGGATAAATATTCAGGAGAGAGATAACAAAGTTCACCACTGGTGTCCCCCAGGGCTCAGTTCTAGGCCCTCTCCTATTCTCGCTATACACCAAGTCACTTGGCTCTGTCATATCCTCACATGGCCTCTCCTATCATTGCTACGCTGACGATACACAACTAATCTTCTCCTTTCCCCCTTCTGATAACCAGGTGGCGAATCGCATCTCTGCATGTCTGGCAGACATATCAGTATAGATTACGGATCACCACCTCAAGCTGAACCTTGGCAAGATGGAGCTGCTCTTCCTCCCGGGGAAGGACTGCCCGTTCCATGATCTCGCCATCACGGTTGACAACTCCGCTGTGTCCTCCTCCCAGAGTGCGAAGAGCCTTGGCGTGACCCTGGACAACACCCTGTCGTTCTCTGCTAACATCAAGGCGGTGACCCGATCCTGTAGGTTCATGCTCTACAACATTCGGAGAGTATGACCCTGCCTTACACAGGAAGCGGCACAGGTCCTAATCCAGGCACTTGTCATCTCCCGTCTGGATTACTGCAACTCGCTGTTGGCTGGGCTCCCTGCCTGTGCCATTAAACCCCTACAACTGATCCAGAATGCCGCAGCCCGCCTGGTGTTCAACCTTCCCAAGTTCTCTCACGTCACCCCGCTCCTCCGCACACTCCACTGGCTTCCAGTTGAAGCTCGCATCTGTTACAAGACCATGGTGCTTGCCTATGGAGCTGTGAGGGGAACGGCACCTCCGTACCTTCAGGCTCTGATCAGTCCCTACACCCAAACGAGGGCATTGTGTTCATCCACCTCTGGCCTGCTGGCTCCCCTTCCTCTGCGGAAGCATAGTTCCCGCTCAGCCCAGTCAAAACTGTTCGCTGCTCTGGCACCCCAATGGTGGAACAAGCTCCCTCACGACGCCAGGACAGCGGAGTCACTCACCACCTTCCGGAGACATTTGAAACTCCACCTCTTTAAGGAATACCTGGGATAGGATAAAGTAATCCTTCTACCCCCCCCTTACCCCAACCCACCCCCCCCCCAAAAAAATAAAAACATTGTAAAGTGGTTGTACTACTGGCTATAAGGTGAATGCACCTATTTGTAAGTCGCTCTGGATAAGAGCGTCTGCTAAATGACGTAAACGTAAACGTATAAACCATGACACAGAAATTCAGGTCAATAAACTATTGCAGTTTGTGGGTGTCCAATCAATATTCATAATCTATCTCTTTCTATTCAATCCATATCCCTATCTTATGATCATATCACATTGATTTCAATCACAAAAGTGGCATATTAATGATCAACAATGAATTATTCATAATGATTCAACTTGATCTAATCATGGCTACCCGGACTATTTGCACTGCCCCCCCACCCCATCCTTTTTACGCTGCTGCTACTCTGTTAAGTATTTATGCATAGTCACTTTAACTCTACCCACATGTACATATTACCTCAACTACCTCAACTAGCCGGTGCCCCCGCACATTGACTCTGCAACGGTACCCCCCTGTATATATAGCCTCCCTACTGTCACTTTATTTTACTTCTGCTCTTTTTTTCTCAACACTTTTTTTGTTGTTGTTTTATTCTTACTTTTTTGTTTAAAATAAATGCACTGTTGGTTAAGGGCTGTAAGTAAGCATTTCACTGTAATGTCTGCACCTGTTGTATTCGGCGCATGTGACCAATAAAATTTGATTTGATTTGATTTGATCTTGGATTATTCAAGATTGTGTCTGGACTGGAGTGCTACAGTACCTTGCTGCCATAGATGGTGGTTCTCCGCTTACATATCTCCTCTGTAAATGCCACCATGGAAAAAGCAGCTGTAAGACCCCCTTCAAACTCCATGTTCACCACCTGTACACACAGGTACAACAAGGTGAGAGAAGAGAGATAAAGAGAGAGGAGCTGTGTCGACTTGAGCCAATATTTTTTCTGACCGAAGCATAAACTTAATTTAAATACAACAAAAGTGTGCAGGACTTAAATGTACAATTCTGTAACCTCTCTTTTGACACTCGGAACGGTCTCTGTTGTGAAAGAGACACTTATCCTAAAGGAGATGGCCTGTTAAAATAAATGTGAAATACCTAGTAATAAATCATAAATAAGTAATAAATCATAAGTGTAAATGTATACATGTAGGATAACCCTTATTCTAAGCATGGTTTCTCTGCGCTAGCGGCTAGCCAGATGGTGGTCAGTCTTACCTGGTTGGTGCAGACGTCGTTGTCACACTGGTAGACACAGCGGCCGTACGGCCCTGATTTCAGAGCCTCGGTCACAGACTCGATGTCTGGGAGAGAGCTGGAGCATATCACAGACACGGGCCAGCCCACACAGCCCTGAGAGACAAACACAGGCTGGGTTACTGTAAAGTGCTTTGTGATAACTGCTGATGTAAAAAGGGCTTTATAATTACATTTGATTGATTGACACAGATATAGATTTACACGCACAGTCACACACACACGTTCATTTTTTATGTGCCATCTAATTTACACTGCTTTCCCTGCATAATAATTGCCCCTCATGGGACAAATCAAATGTAATTGACTTGAATGGAAAAACCTGTTTGACTCTGTCCAGGTAGATCTTGCGTGCAGAATATGGGCAAGCTTCCTCTACAGGGCAGTCTAGGCAGCGGTCTGCAGCACCTGGTGGCTGGAGGGAAAACTATTTAGCACTGAATCACCTTTGACTATTCTAGGGTGGGTTTCCCGAAAGCGTCGTGGCACTCACATCATCTACAGTAAATCCGTTGTAGGCAATGGACGAAAGATGATCTTAGTGCTACAAAGCTTTTGGGAAACCCACATTATACTATGTAGGACAAAATGGAAGCTCATTGTGGCCTTTTGTCCCAAAGGGGCCAAAGAGGCTTGAGTACCTATGACAGAATCAAAAACTATCTAAAAACAAACATTAATACACCAGTGATAATATCACAGAATGAATACAGTATCATGAGAAGGTAACTCAAAAGTGGGAATCAAATGTAAAGCATGGACATCAGCTACTTCGGGAGAGGTGGATGTAAGGCAGGAAACTGTGGTTGTGGGAGTGTGATGCAATGCTTTGTCAGCTATGTTTTCCCAGACAAAGAATCACCAGGAGTTAGTTAGTTACAGTCAGTTCTCAGTCTTATGGGAGAGTATATGTTCTCCCACTGTATCACCTGTGGTTTACTGTTATTCGGACACAGTGACTCTGTGTAAAGGTTGTATCAGATGTTGCTGTAATGTTTTCCTTACTGCTCCAATTTTCCCTAGTCAGAGTCCAAATAGTTGTGAAATCAGTGATTCCAGTATATTAAAAACGAAATGATATATAAAGTATTTGAGATGGTACAGGAATGTGGATGCTAATATGTTAAAGTAAAGTAACATGTTCATTCATGTGCATGTAACTATAGTTGTCTGTATTATTGTTCAATGGCAGGCCAAGCCCATTGTTTAAAACTATTTTGAGTTTATTTAGTGTCCAAAACAGTCAAACATAGTTGTACCACTTCCGTTCTGATTACAGTGCATTCAGAAAGAATTCAATTTTTTTTACGCTAAGCCTCATTCTAAAATGGATAAAAGTATTTGTTTCCTCATCAATCTACACACAATACCCATAATGACAAAGCAAAAACAGGTTTGTAGATTTTTTTGCAAATGTATAAATATTTTTTAAAATAAAAAACCTTATTTTTACTAAGTATTCAGACCCTTTGCTATGACATTTACATTTACGTCATTTAGTAGACGCTCTTATCCAGAGCGACTTACAGTTAGTGAGTGCATACATTATTTTATTTCTTATTTTTTCATACTGGCCCCCCGTGGGAATCGAACCCACAACCCTGGCGTTGCAAACGCCATGCTCTACCAACTGAGCTACATCCCTGCCGGCCATTCCCTCCCCTACCCTGGACGATGCTGGGCCAATTGTGCGCCGCCCCATGGGTCTCCCGGTCGAGACTTGAAATTGAGCTCAGGTGCATCCTGTTTCCATTGATCATCCTTGAGATGTTTCTACAACTTGATTGGAGTCCACCTGTGGTAACTTCAATTGATTGGAAATGATTTGGAAAGGCACACACCTGTCTATATAATGTCCCACAGTTGACAGAGCAAAAACCAAGCCATGAGTTCGAAGGAATTGTCCGTAGAGCTCCGAGACAGGATTGTGTCGAGGCACAGATCTGAGAAAGGGTAGCAAAAAAATTCTGCAGCATTGAAGGTCCCCAAGAACACAATGGCCTCTATCATTCTTAAATGGAAGAAGTTTGGAACCACCAAGACTCTTCCTAGAGCTGGACACCCGGCCAAACTGAGCAATCGGGGGAGAAGGGAGCTGACCAAGAAACTGATGGTCACTCTGACAGCGCTCCAGAGTTCCTCTGTGGAGATGGAAGAACCTTCCAGAAGGACAACCATCTCTGCAGCAGTCCACCAATCAAGTATTTATGGTAGAGTGGCTAGAAGGAAGCCACTCCTCAGTAAAAGGCACATGAGAGCCCACTTTGAGTTTGCCAAAAGGCACCTAAAGACTCTCAGACCATGAGAAACAAGATTCTCTGGTCTGATGAATCCAAGATTGAATTCTTTGGCCTGAATCCCAAGCATCACATCTGGAGGAAACCAGGCACCGCTCATCACCTGGCCAATACCATCCCTACGGTGAAGCATGGGGGTGGCAGCATCATGCTGTGGGGATGTTTTTCAGCGGCAGGGACTGGGAGATTAGTCAGGATCGATGGAAAGATGAACGGAGCAAAGTACAGAGAGATCCTTGATGAAAACCTGCTCCAGAGCGCTCAGGACCTCAGACTGGGGCAAAGGTTCACATTCCAAAAGGACAACGACCCTAAGCACACAGCCAAGACAACGCAGGAGTGGCTTCGGGACAAGTCTCTGAATGTCCTTGAGTGACCCAGCCAGAGCCCGGACTTGAACCCGATCAAACATCTCTGGAGAGACCTGAAAATAGCTGTGCAGCGACGCTCCCCATCCAACCTGACAGAGCTTGAGAGGATCTGCAGAGAAGAATGGGAGAAACTCCCCAAATACTAGTGTGTCAAGCTTGTAGCGTCATACCCAAGAAGACTTGAGGCTGTAATCGCTGCCAAAGGTGCTTCAACAAAGTACTGAGTAAAGGGTCTGAATACTTATGTAAAGGTGACATCAGTTGTTTTTGTTTTATACATTTGTAAAAACTTCAAAAAACCTGTTTTGTAGAATAAGGCTGTAACGTAACAAACATTTTGAAAAAGTGAAGGGGTCTGAATACTTTCCGAATACATTGTGTATGAGAAGACCACACACCTTTTTCTCTTTGCGGAAGTGACTGAGAGATCCAAACGATGACACTTTCAAACACCTGTGAAGAACAAGCTATTTTTAAATAGGGCTGTCAGTCGAACAAAGAAATTAGTTGATTAACTTGTTATTTTATTTATAAAAAACTAAAAACATTGCCTCTTTACCTTCGTCCTCCAGCCCAGTGATGTATCAAGTCAATGTCATGGCAGGATTTGGCCAGAAGTGAAAAAGAGCTCTCAGCCTCATTCCTCCAGTTCCCTCGAACAAAGGAGTGGGCAAAGTGAAAGAAGCCTACCTAGAACAGGAGAAAGTAACCATGGAAATCTTTGCAGATACTTCAACCCATGCAGGCTGCATTGAGAGTGGAGTGGAGGCCACTATAATATTGTACGCAGACCTGGGTTCATATACTATTTGAAATCGTCCATAAATACAGTACCAGTCTAAAGTTTGGACACACCTACTCATTCAATGGTTTTTCTTTATTTTTACTATTTTCGACATTGTAGAATAATAGTGAAGACATCAAAACTATGAAATAACACATATGGAATCATGTAGTAACCAAAAAAGTGTTAAACAAATCAAAATATATTTTATATTTGAGGTTCTTCAAAGTAGCCACTCTTTGCCTTGATGACAGCTTTGCACTCTTGGCATTCTCCCAACCAGCTTCACCTAGAATGCTTTTCCAACAGTCTTGAAGGAGTTCCCACATATGCTGAGCACTTGTTGGCTGCTTTTCCTTCACTCTGCAGTCCAACTCATCCCAAACCATCTCAATTGGGTTGAGTTCAGGTGATTGTGGAGGCCAGGTCATCTGATGCAGCACTCCATCACTCTCCTTCTTGGTCAAAAAGCCCTTACACAGCCTGGAGATGTGTTGGGTCATTGTCCTGTTGAAAAACAAATGATAGTCCCACTAAGTGCAAACCAGATGGGATGGCGTATCGCTGCAGAATGCTGTGGTAGCCATGCTGGTTAAGTGTGCCTTGAATTCTAAATAAATCACAGACAGTGTCACCAGCAAAGCACCCCCACACCATCACACCTCATCCTCCATGCTTCACGGTGGGAACCACACATGCGGAGATCATCCGTTCACCTACTCTGCGTCTCACAAAGACACGGCGGTTGGAACCAAAAATCTCACATTTGGACTCATCAGACCAAAGGAGCGATTTCCACCGGTTTAATGTCCATTGTTTGTGTTTCTTGGCCCAAGCAAGTCTCTTCTTCTTATTGGTGTCCTTTAGTTGTGGTTTCTTTGCAGTAATTAGACCATGAAGGCCTGATTCACACAGTCTCCTCTGAACAGTTGATGTTGAGATGTGTCTGTTACTTGAACTCTGTGAAGCATTTATTTGGGCTGCAATTTCAGAGGCTGGTAACTCTAATGAACTTATCCTCTGCAGCAGAGGTGACTCTCGGTCTTCCTTTCCTGTGGCGGTCCTCATGAGAGCCAGTTTCATCATAGCGCTTGATGTTTCTTGCGACTGCGCTTGAAGAACCTTTCAAAGTTCTTGAAATGTTCCGGATTTACAAGGTAGGGGTGGTATACAGAAGATAGCCCTATTTGGTAAAAGACCAAGTCCATATTATGGCAAGAACAGCTCAAATGAGCAAAGAGAAACAACAGTCCATCATTACTTTAAGACATGCACAACTGATAGGCTCAAACGCATTAAGAAGGAAAGAAATTCCACAAATTAACTTTTAACAAGGCACACCTGTTAATTGAAATGCAGTCCAGGTGATTACCTCATGAAGCTGGTTGAGAGAATGCCAACAGTGTGCAAGCTGTCATCAAGAGAAAGGGTGGCTACTTTGAAGAATCTCAAAGAAAAAATATATTTTGATTTGTTTAACACGTTTTTGGTTACTACATGATTCCACATGTGTTATTTCATAGTTTTGATGTCTTCACTTTTATTCTCCAATGTAGAAAATAGTAAAAATAAAGAAAAACCCTGGAATGAGTAGGTGTGTCCAAACTTTTGACTGGTAATGTATAAGCGTTTGCTATCGTCTGTCTGGAGAGCCTAGTTGAGCGGGCTTTGCAGTTTTGCAACTATTCTAGTCAAGTTACGTTTATTTACTTATTCTGTTGGTTCCATTGTGCACGGCAAGATCACTCAAGCACAGATACATTAAATAGTATTAGTACTTGATAGTAATAGCACTTGAACCCAGGTCTGGCTATGCTCTATGTAAATGATGTAAAATTGACATGGTATTGTAAATTCATCCCTACCGGTTCTAGGTGTTGAATATGGACCAGGTCTCCAATCACTCCACTGTCCATCAGCACCTGTGGGGTCAATTCCAAAGCGTTGGCAACACACTATATGGCAGCCCTTCTCAAGCTTGATTTGACTGCTTCTATCCCGCAAGGAGTACCTTGTTGCTAGGCATATTTTCGCTCAAGCTCTGATTGGGCATTAAATCCAATCACAGTAGCCACTGTTCTAATTATGCTGGGTGACAATTTCGTCACGCAAAAAGCACAGATCTGTGCAAAAAAATACTGTAATATTTAAAATAGATGGAAATACACTTACTTTTATCTTGTGGATGACAGGGTCATATCGGAGGACATGGCACACTGTTAGCATCACACCACTTTGAATGCAAGTTCTTACAATCTCTGTGCAGTCCTCAGCTGTTACCTAATATGAAAAAATATCAATTTGACACTGCGCATACACACGCCTGCATGCACACAAACACAGACAGACACAGACACACACTCTTTCTATATCTCTAGATATGATTGATTGTATAAACTACTTGCACTGCGCTGGTATAGGATAGCTGAAATGATCAGGTCTTGATCAGACATCACAACAACATACAGTACCAGTCAAAAGTTTGGACACACCTACTCATTCAAGGGTTTTTCTTTATTTTTACTATTTTCGACATTGTAGAATAATAGTGAAGACATCAAAACTATGAAATAACACATATGGAATCATGTAGTAAGCAAATTGGTGTTCAACAAATCAAAATATATTTTATATTTGAGATTCTTCAAAGTAGCCACCCTTTGCCTTGATGACAGCTTTGCACACTCTTGGCATTCCCTCAACCAGCTTCATGAGGAATGCTTTTCCAACAGTCTTGAAGGACTTCCCACATATGCTGAACACTTGTTGGCTGCTTTTCCTTCACTTAGAGGTCCAACTCATCCCAAACCATCTCAAATGGGTTGAAGTAGGGTGATTGTGGAGGCCAGGTCATCTGATGCAGCACTCCATCACTCTCCTTGGTCAAATAGCCCTTACACAGCCTCTAGGTATGTTTTGGGTCATTGTCCTGTTGAAAAACAAATGATAGTCCCACTAAGCGCAAACCAGATGGGATGGCGTATCGCTGCAGAATGCTGTGGTAGCCATGCTGGTTAAGTGTGCCTTGAATTCTAAATAAATCACAGACAGTGTCACCGGCAAAGCACCCCCACACCATCACACCTCCTCCTCCATGCTTCACAGTGGGAACCACACATGCGGAGATCATCCGTTCACCTACTCTGCGTCTCACAAAGACACGGCAGTTGGAACCAAAGATCTCACATTTGGACTCCAGACCAAAGGACAGATTTCCACCGGTTTAATGTTCATTGCTCATGTTTCTTGGCCCAAGCAAGTTTCTTCTTCTTATTGGTGTCCTTTAGTAGTGGTTTCTTTACAACAATTCGACCATGAAGGGCTGATTCACACAGTCTCCTCTGAACAGTTGATGTTGAGATGTGTCTGTTACTTGAACTCTGTGAAGCATTTATTTAGGCTGCAATCTGAGGTGCAGTTAACTCTAATGAACTTATCCTCTGCAGCAGAGGTAACTCTGGGTCTTCCTTTCCTGTGGTGGTCCTCATGAGAGCCAGTTTCATCATAGCATTTGATGGTTTTTGCGACTGCACTTGAAGAAACTTTCAAAGTTCTTGAAATGTTCTGGATTGACAAGGTAGGGGTGGTATACAGAAGATAGCCCTATTTGGTAAAAGACCAAGTCCATATTATGGCAAGAACAGCTCAAATAAGCAAAGAGAAACGACAGTCCATCATTACTTTAAGACATGCACAACTGATTGGCTCAAACGCATTAAGGAAAGAAATTCCACAAATTAACTTTTAACAAGGCACACCTGGTAATTGAAATGCATTCCAGGTGACTACCTCATGAAGCTGGTTGAGAGAATGCCAAGAGTGTGCAAAGTTGTCATCAAGGCAAAGGGTGGCTACTTTGAAGAATCTCAAATATAAAATATATTTTGATTTGTTTAACACTTTTTTGGTTACTACATGATTCCTTATGTGTTATTTCATAGTTTTGATGTCTTCACTATTATTCTACAATGTGGAAAATAGTACAAATAAAGAAAAACCCTTGAATGTGTAGGTGTGTCCAAACTTTTGACTTGTACTGTACATCGTTTTTACAGGGGACGGAGAACACTCACAGCCATGGGCTTCTCCAGAAGAATATGGTAGCCTTTCTTTGCCAGTGCCACAGTGGGGTCCTTGACAAGAAGACAAGAACACATACTCACTCAGAACAGCCATCATGGATTCTCAATCTTAGCCTACTGTAGCATCAACGGGCAAAATACTTTTTTTGAGTAACCTCATCAGACACTGAGCATCCTAAAATAGTTATGTTGAAATGGTTGCTCAGATTCTGTGACATACCAAATTTGATTAATTGAGTAACAAGTATCCTCTACTACTATTACCTTATGATGGCGGTCTGGGGTACAAATGAACACAGCATCCGCAAACTTCTCCCTTTGTACTATACCACGCCAATCTGGGAAAGAGGAATATAGGTAACATATGTCATAACACTTTTCATAACTGATTACAATGCACGCAAAATTATAATATAATAATAATAATATGCCATTTAGCAGACGCTTTTATCCAAAGCGACTTACAGTCATGCGTGCATACATTTTTTTGTGTACGTGTGGTCCCGGGGATCGAACCCACTACCTTGGCGTTACAAGCGCCGTGCTCTACCAGCTGAGCTACAGAGGACCCTGGTTTGTACTTGACATTCAGTGACATAAGATGCCACAAGAGCTTATTTGTTATGACATGCATATGATAATATCACGCTGTTATGATGTATAGTTCAAATGAAGTGCTACCAAATAATCAATCCAGCGTTTATCAAAAGGGAGAGGGAGAAAATGGTTGTGGACCGACAGTTACATAATTTTCACTCGTACCAGCAAATACGTTGTCATTTGCTACTCTGTGTTGCTTCTGAAGTTTCTCCCGTGCAAATTTCCTGGGGTCAGCCACTCCAACGACCTACAATAAATTTGAGTTATCATTGTTGACATTCTTATCATCATCATTACTTTTATGTAAAACCTTAGTCAAGACCGAATGGCTACTAATCGGTAACACACTTAAATTATGATGGAAAGAAGTGATGAATGATTTAGCATAGCAGGGATGAAAGCCTATATCTTTCTAAGATCAGGTCTACTCATTAAGTTATTTCAGTCAATATTGACAAGACCAGATGTAGAGAGATGTTGGGGAGCCTTACTTGCATGCGTTGAGGCTGAAGGGAGGCAAAGTGTGAGTATGTCTCCCCACGGTTCCCAGCCCCCACCACAATGACATCCACAGGTGATGCCATCCTGACTTTCTGGGCCCTGCTTCAAAATGACAAAGACATCAGTTCAAACCAGCCATGTTTCATTTATTGATGTATATGATGTCTAATGCTATTGTTTTCGTTGACTGAACATCCTCTTAAGTTTGACTGAGCTTTGTGTAATAGGTAATTATCATGGTGAAACAATTAATAATAATAATAATAATACGCCATTTAGCAGATGCTTTTATCCAAAGCGACTTACAGTCATGCGTGCATACATTTTTGTGTATGGGTGGTCCCGGGGATCGAACCCACTACCTTGGCGTTACAAGCGCCGTGCTCTACCAGCTGAGCTACAGAGGACCACAAATTATTATAAAACAAATATTATTCTAACATTGTTACCAAGTTACATTTGAAGAATGACCCATTTATTGTTTTCCTAGTTGAACCTAGTTGAACTAGTTGAACTTTATTTCATTTTACATCGAATAATGTACTGTATTCGTTCAAACAAGGTTGAGACTAGTTAACACAGCTACAATGTCAAAATTGGCCATATCGTAAAAATTAATGCAAACAAAAATGAGCTTTTTGGTCTTAAGGTTAGCAGTGTGGTTAAGTTAAGGTAAGGTTTCAAATCTGATTTTAACATGACGACTACACTGGGCACGCGCGTGCATATGTTGATTTTGTCCATCCACAGCAGACGCAATCAGGACATGCAGGTTGAAATATCATAACGAACTCTGAACCAACTATATTAATTTGGAGACAGGTCCAAACATTCATGTACATTAACCTATCTAGCTTGCTATGCTAGCTAATTTGTCATGGGATATAAACATTTGGTTGTTATTTTACCTGAAATGCGCAAGGTCCTTTTTTCCTGGGTCTTTGTAGAATTGTGACCCATTTTGAGTCACACAAAATCGTGTGTTCTCTACTGTAAGGTGCATTACCACCAACAACTTGACTGGAGTGTGGACCCCCAGCTTCCAATCACCCACGTGGGTATATGCTCCTAAAAATCAATGAGGAGATGGAAGAGGCTGGACTTCCAGCGCGTCAATTGTCAAATACCTATTTCGCAGATGCTTGTTGACGCGCGCGAGCAGTCTGGATGAAATTATTGAATAACATGTATGTGTAAGATTGTAAGAAAATAAATTGTAGAAATGGGCGGGTTTTATCCATAATTATGACTGTGGTTGTGTTAACTACTGACGATCTTTTAAACAAAGCATGTATTTGTTTCCCTTTCCTGACAAGATAAAGTGACTGTCACATGATCATATAAAAAACTGCACTAGTAGGCAAAAGGTTAAACGGGGTTGCAATATTTCTACAACAAAAACATAACGACCATAATTCACGCCAGAGAGAGTTTATCTTTGACCGTGTACAAAAAACGCTAAATTCAGATAGATCTTAATCTATTGTTTTTTTTTATACAAACGTTTGCATACAATATAGGCTACAGTAGGCTACCTACCTTGAACACTGGTGGTCTTCTTCAGTGAGTCCAAGATTAAGCCACCCTGGATGCATCTGCGCACATTCTTCTGGGGGGAACCATTAGTAGGACAAGACATGTTTGAAAGCCGGACATTGAAATCGATGCACACGGAAGGCGTGAAAATACATTTTTGCAAGCTAACACGATCATAGTGGACGAATGATCTTTATTTTTCGCTATTTACCCATACACTGTCGTAAAAGGGTATTTTTGGCAGTTAATTTAACCCCTTCACTATAGCTAGCTAGCTAACTTAATATTTTGACTTTGGCTATTTTACCAAGCGACCTGCGGTGCAGCCAGCAACAATTATGAACGTTGATACTCCACAGCCAGTCATACCAGGGGGCTCTTCTTCCATTTCCTCGACATCCAGTAATTGCATCACTAACAACAATGCAGCAACTAATGTCAGCAGCATCCCCTCGGTTGCCATAAGTAATGGTAAGTATTTACACACATTTTGAGGTTATAAACAGCTTTAGAGACGGTTACACAACAGATGAATGGTCTGCTATCTACTAGTTAAGCTAACTAGGTCAAAAGTGACTCAGAACCTTTGAAATTATTCAAGTACAGTAGCCCACACACCATATAGCACTATACAGAACTTGAAAACCATCTTAGATCTAGCACGTTCATTGCTGGCTGCTTTGTGAAACAGTCAACAGCTTAGCCCAGAGCTGGACCTTGGCTATCAACATCTCAGCTACATTTAGGAAAATATTAAACCATGTAATTATTTATTTTTTGTTTCAGCCCCAACCTCGGCTGCCATGGCCACACCATCATCTGACACATCCGTGTCCAACGGGGTCTATGTGCCCAGTGGCATTGCCAACGGCGACGTGAAGCCTGTAATCTCCACCACACCACTGGCTGACTTTCTCATGCAGTTGGAGGACTACACTCCTACAGTGAGTCAAACCCCTTTTTAAAGTCGTAACGTTAGTTCACGAGAAGACATGTAGATAACTTTTTTCACATACCTAGGCTGATGTCGATTGACTTATATACAGTGCATTCGGAACGTATTCAGACCCCTTGACCGTTAATAATAATAATAATAATAATAATAATATGCCATTTAGCAGACGCTTTTATCCAAAGCGACTTACAGTCATGCGTGCATACATTATTATTTTTTGTGTATGGGTGGTCCCGGGGATCGAACCCACTACCTTGGCGTTACAAGCGCCGTGCTCTACCAGCTGAGCTACAGAGGACCACATTATTATCGTTAACACATTTTGTTGCGTTAAAGCCTTATTCTAAAATGGATTACATTTTTTTAAAGGCCTCAATCTACACACAATACCCCATAATGACAAAGCGAAAACAGGGTTTTCCTTATTTACATAAGTATTCAGACCCTTTGCTATGAGACTCGAAATTGAGCTCATGTGCATCCTGTTTCCATTGATCATCCTTGAGATGTTTCTACAACTTGATTGGAGTCCACCTGTGCTGAATTCAAATGATTGGACATGATTTGGAAAGGCACACACCTGTCTATATAAGGTCCCACAGTTGACAGTGCATGTCAGAGCAAAAACCAAGCCATGAGGTAGAAGGAATTTTCCGTAGAGCTCCGAGACAGGATTGTGTCGAGGCACAGATCTGGGGAAGGTCTGGGGAAAACATTTCTGCAGCATTGACAGTCCCCAAGAATACAGTGGCCTCCATCATTCTTAAATGGAAGAAGTTTGGAACCAGCAAGACTCTTCCTAGAGCTGGACGCCCGGCCAAACTGAGCAATAGGGGGAGAAGGGCCTTGGTCAGGGAGGTGACCAAGAACCAGATGGTCACTCTGACAGAGCTCTAGAGTTCCTTTGTGGATATGGGACAACCTTCCAGAAGGACAACCATCTCTGCAGCCCTCCACCAATCAGGCCTTTATGGTAGAGTGGCCAGACGGAAGCCACTCCTCAGTAAAAGGCACATGACAGCCGCTTTGAGTTTGCCAAAAGGCACCTAAAGGACTCTGACTATGAGAAACAAGATTCTCTGGTCTGATGAAACCAAGATTAAACTATTTGGGCTGAATGCCAAGCATCACATCTGGAGGAAACCTGGCACCATCCCTACGGTGAAGCTTGGTGGTGGCAGCATCATGTTGTGGGTTTGTTTTTCAGCGGCAGGGACTGGGAGACTAGTCAGGATCGAGGAAAATATGAACAAAGCAAAGTACAGAGAGATCCTTGATGAAAACCTGCTCCAGAGCGCTCAGGACCTCAGACTGGGGCGAAGGTTCACCTTCCAACAGGACAACGACCCTAAGCACACAGCCAAGACAACGCAGGAGTGGCTTCGGGACAAGTCTCTGAATGTCCTTGAGTGGCCCGGCCAGAGCCCGGACTTGAACCCGATCTAACATCTCTGGAGAGACCTTACAATAGCTGTGCAGCGACGCTCCCCATCCAACCTGACAGAGCTTGAGAGGATCTGCAGAGAAGAATGGGAGAAACCCCCCAAATACAGGTGTGCCAAGCTTGTAGCGTCATATCCAAGAAGACTTGAGGCTGTAATCGCTGCCAAAGGTGCTTCAACAAAGTACTGAGTAAAGGGTCTGAATACTTACAGTACCAGTCAAAAGTTTGGACACAGCTACTCATTCTAGGGTTTTTCTTTATTTTGACTATTTTCTACATTGTAGAATAATAATGAAGACATCAAAACTATGAAATAACACATTGAATCATGTAGTAACCAAAACAAGTGTTAAACAAATCAAAATATTTTATATTTGATATTTTATAGGTTTTGAGAATGAGTAAAAAATAAAGAAAAACCCTTGAATGAGTAGGTGTGTCCAAACCTTTGACTGGTAGTGTATGTAAATGTGATATTTCAGTTTTTTATTTTTAATACATTTGCTAAGATTTCAAAAAAACGGTTTTTGCTTTGTCATTATGGGGTATTGTGTGTAGACTGATTAGGGGAAAAAACAATTTTATCCATTTTAGAATAAGGCTGTAACTAAACAGAATGTGGAAAAAGTCAAGGGGTCTGAATACTTTCCGAATGCACTGTACATATTGCATATTTGGGTTATGTAGTTATAAGAAGCCTCTGATTAATTTAGCATGTAAATGGACTCCGGTATCAACTGTGGGGATGCTAGGGTACAGAATACCTTACCAAAACACATCACAATGACTTCAGTCCAACCTCTACCATTTGTTTGCCAGATCCCTGATGCAGTGACAGGCTACTATCTCAACCGGGCTGGCTTTGAGGCGTCTGATCCGCGAATGTAAGCATGCATCATATTGTTTACCTCTTTACCTGCAAAGAGTCCTCTCCATCTCTTTCAGCTTTATACCAATTCAATATCAACTCACTTGAGCGCCAAACATAAACATTATATATGCCCATCGTTTTCAGAATCCTTTTGGTCTCCCTAGCAGCTCAGAAGTTCATCTCAGACATTGCTAACGAGCCAAACGTAAACATTATATATGCCCATCGTTTTCAGAATCCGTTTGGTCTCCCTAGCAGCTCAGAAGTTCATCTCAGACATTGCTAACGATGCCCTGCAGCATTGTAAAATGAAGGGCACTGCCTCGGGGAGCTCCAGGAACAAGACAAAGGTTGGTGCATTTCTGATGGTACTGAAACATAACATAGGCTATACATCTCAGTGAATTAACACATTAACTGTTTATATGAGTTGCACAGAATTATTCATGCATATGTATACATTTATTTTTGATTGGTTTCTCACTTTGTCCTCCCACCTCTTCTCTCCCAAAGCAGGACAAGAAGTACACATTGACCATGGAGGACCTCTCCCCTGCCCTGTCCGAGTATGGCATCAATGTAAAGAAACCTCATTACTTCACATAGGAGATTGGCTATGCAGTCTGGCAGCTCCTGCTGTTTTTGCTCCTCATAAACCCCTTATGATGGTCCTTTAGGATGGCCATAGAATATTAATTGCAGTCACTCTTTTGTTCTGTTAATTTTTTCAAGTAGAGCATGCTTTGCTTTGTGTGGAATTTTGAGCTTGTAATATTTTATTGAGACAAATAAAACCTTCAGCAATGACTTATTTCTGACAATGTGCTTTTTCATTTATGTACTCTGGTGATAAACAAATAGAAGAGTTATGGGTAGTTTATATACTCTATTAATCAGGACGCGATAACACAAGTCATGTTTTGCTTGAGTGGGGGCATTCGGTAATGTTTGTCCATGGAAGTGAGCCGTAGTAAATGTCCACCCGCGGCTACCGTAGATTTAGGAGCCGCAGTTCTTTTTGAATTAGTTCGCTAATGACATGCTTTCGGCTAACCACTGAATAGTTTGACGTATTGTTTTCCTTGTGCTTGAAAATAAATAACAATGAATGTTCAGCCTTCTAATCCCAACAACCCGATTGTGTTCTTTGATGTCACCATTGGAGGACAAGTGAGTAACGTCAGTTTTATTGCTTTCATAGCTACGAAATGGCCAGCTAGCACGTTGTTGGCTAGCCTGCCAGCTAGCAAACTTTACCCAAAAATGTAATTATGACGAATCTAGCTAGCCATCACATTGAGGCTCAAAAACAACATCCCATATAATATCGAGACATGTGGTCTCAAGCAATAGATAGCTAGCTAACGTACAAAGTGCTAACGTTACGTGATAATATTTTATGTGTAGTAGCTAGTTAAACATTAGCTTGCTCGAAGACGAAGGCACAGAGTTTCTAAATCGCGAGACTTCCGTGAACGGCTTGCGAAAGACCAATCCGGGGTGTGAGGAGTCAATGAGAGAAGTGAAAAATTCTCCCTTAGTTCATTTTCTCAATCTGAAGACGCAACGTAGATTCGAGCCAATGTCTTAATTAGTTGAATATGTTATTACCCCAACCTCGTGAAAGAGACAAACTGACACGTTTTAATTTGAGTCTAAAACTGCATCTCCAATAGAAATCCCCCATCACACTTGCAGGCGATGTCATGGCGACGTTGGCTAGCTAAATTCATGTGGAGAAACATGACATCGCCTACAAGTGTGATGGGGGCTTTCTATTGGAGAAGCAGTTTTGGCCTATTTTACATTTTAGTCATTTAGCAGACGCTCTTATCCAGAGCAACTTACAGTTAGTGAGGGCATACATTATTATTTTTTATACTGGTCCCCCGTGGGAATCGAACCCACAACCCTGGCGTTGCAAGCGCCAATGCTCTACCAACTGAGCTACACGGGACTACTGTACTGTCTTTGCCTTCGTCAAAGACACTACCAAATATTTTTTTTATAACTAACCCAACCCAACTAACCTGTCGTTTCCAATGGGTGCAAATGACTTTAAGCATCAGTTGTCAGAGCATCAGTTGTCAGAGCACCTTACCGATCACTGCACCTGTACACAGCCCATCTGAAATTAGCCCGCCCAACTACCTCATCCCTATATTGTTATCTATTTTGCTCATTTGTACCCCAGTATCTCTATTTGCACATCATCTCTTGCACATCTATCATTCCAGTGTTAATACTAATTGTAATTATTTTGCACTATAGCCTATTTTATTGCCTACCTCCATAACTTGCTAAATTTGCACACTGTATATTATATGTATTTCTGTTGTATTTTTGACTTTGTTTTGTTTTACCCCATATGTAACTCTGTGTTTGTTTTTATCGCACTGCTATGCTTTATCTTGGCCAGGTCGCAGTTGTAAATGAGAACTTGTTCTCAACTGGTTTACCTGGTTAAATAAAGGTGAAATAAAAAAATAAAAAGAATCATAGTAGGCAAAACAAGCAAGGAGGTGGGCAGAGCCAAGCGCGAGTTCCTATTGGCACGTTCTAGCAGTATTTGCATATTTCCGTTAGGGAACGCCTACTTTGTGAAGTGCATGTTTGCAATAACTCAATACGCCCTTGAATTCCTTAAAAATCATTTTTGTTGAAACTTTGGCAAAGGGTAAAGTCTACAAAACTTTGTCCACTCTGTGTTTAACATATGTTAGTTTAGGAAACAAAAAACTGTATTGAGATCATGTTTCATTGAGTAAATTAGCAGCATGTCGGCCACTTGGCTCCCACTGCTGGCCACTGGGCTTCCTCTCGTCACCATATAGTGAGTGGAAGGGCCAACTGGATGCTTCACATTTATTTATTTATTCCGGTGAAATATCTGGTTCATTGTTCCATCTGACAGTACAGTATGTAGATAGCCAGAAAGTGCTTCTCCAATAGAAATCCCCAATCACACTTGTAGGCAATGACATAGAAATAAATAGTATTGCCGTCTTTTTGTAGGTTGGACAAAGCTTATGTGGAAATTAATGGCGTTTTTGGATAAACGCCAAAAATAAGGTTTGTGGTAAACAGGTTTAGGAGATCTTATACTTTTTGTTCTATGGGATCATCTTCATCAGCTAACGTCACTTTCTGTGAATTTTGAAGTATTTATATAATTTAAAAAAGCACAAAGGCTTCATAATTCATAAAGGTCATGTTAATTGACTGATATTATCTCATAAAACAAAACGTGTAAGATCTAAGCTTGTCTTAACCTCAGACCTTATTTTCGGCATTTATCCCAAACCCTATTCTTTCCTCATTTTATTTTCGTCATAAGAATGGCTGAACGAACCGGAGTTACCTAATTTACAGGTTTTCGGACTACAAGCTGGCGAGCTCTATGGCGACGTTGGCTAGCTAAGCTCATGCGCAGAAAGACTTCATTGGGTCTAACGGTTGTCTCGCACCGAACTGTGCATATGCAGGCCGTCAATTGAAAGGCACTCCTTCGATATAAAGTTGTTGTTTTTTTACAAAAATTTTAACGTGTCAGTTTGTCATTTTCACAAGGTTGGAGTAATAACATGTTCAACTACTTAAGACATTGACTGGAATTTAGGATGTGCCATTTAGATTTAGAGAATTTACAACTAAGAAATAATTTTTCACTTCTCTCATCAGGGCATAAAATTAACACCGGCCAAATGCGGGTAGATTTTGGCATTGGCTGGTAAGATGTCTATTTCACCAGCCACATTGGCAGGTGGTCAGGGCGCCACAGTGCGAACATGTTACTTGCATTTGTGAATAAAAATAGTCAAATATCTCATTTATAGCAAAATAAATGCTGTAGTATCTGTTTTGAAAGTATTTCTGCCATTTTGTTTCATAGCTGGTAAATTAATCGCACGGTCAAACAACTACGAATCCTATAGCCCAGGGGTTGGGGTCACAAAAACGCTGAATTCATCATGAGGGGCCGCAGTTGTTGAAGCGCTACGCACAGGCATAACAGTTGGTCTAATTTACTTGAAACGATAATCTACTGAGACTTTGTCCTTGTGTTTCTTGGCTATTTTCATTGTTTTGTTTTTCAATGTTCGAGTTTCAACTGCTAGGGAAGAGAAGACAATGTGGCTACTAGTGGTCCTCTGTAGCTCAATTGGTAGAGCATGGCGCTTGTAACGCTAGGGTAGTGGGTTCGATCCCCGGGACCACCCATACGTAAAAATGTATGCGCACATGACTGTAAGTCGCTTTGGATAAAAGCGTCTGCTAGATGGCATATTATATTATTATTATAGTCAGACTCAATGTCACAGACATGACTTGAGCCGCGTTACCACGGTAACCTCCGCAATTAAAGGGGCAGGTGAAAATGTTTGTCTCATCTGTGATATTTTGGTTAAAAGACTCAGGTCCAGGGGCGGCCTGTTCAATAGGGCGATATGGGCGACGCACTGCCAAACGGGAAAAGGAAGGGATTTTTTTTCTAATCAATTATATCACGGCAACAGTAGTTATCAGTGTTGTAATCTATACGTCTGATCTGCCACAGTGCCACACTGCCACTAAATGTCGAATCAGGCTAAAGTCGTGCTTCAAATGGCTCCCCCCCCTTTTGGGGCGATTTCAGTCAGGTTGAAAATCGCCCAGAAGTCTGTAATAGACTCCCATGTAAAATCTATTTTTTTCAAATTTCAGAGCCTTCAATACAATCTCAATGGGTGTCTGTGGGCTTGCACTTACGCGCTTTCGTCATACGTTACGTAACCATGAACGTAACTGAGAAAAGAGTGGATTGTTTGAAAGAAGTTCCTTTTTGTCGGCGAACAAATGGAGATAAATTGGCAACGAAACAATTAGGACCTCCCAGACCAAATTTAATAATTCAACAGGTTTCTACTAAAGGCGGAAAGTCCTACACCCGAGGATTTTCCAAAAATTGGTACGAACGAAAAAAGACATTGCCACTCACTCAACTGGATGACGAGGGATACAGGCTAGCTGTCCGCCGCCACAACGATGAGGTTAGTGTTGATAATCACAAGTTTACTGGATGTGGATATGGTGTAATAAAGGCAGTTTATTCAGAGGTAAATATATCTGGAATCGCGTTCACGGACCCGTTCGTCAAACTCTTAGGGAGCTATAAATTAAGCCCCATTACTCACCATATCAGATAAGAGAAATTGCTGCAGCTACATATATTTTACATCCTGGCCCTACATAGTTCACTATTTGCATCACTTACCAAAATATTACATGTGGTCATATATGCTTGGAAAGTGGAGATGCCATAGAACGTCAAAAAAGTAAACATTGCTGGAGACACATTGCCGTTTTGGAGAAGACATCGCGTTTGCTAGCGAAGAGATTTGTTGTGGCAAATGAACTTGGGCTGGGAATTGCCAGGAACCTCACGATAAGATATATGCATCAGCATTGCGAGTCTCATGATTCTATACGTATTGCGATTCGATACTGTGATTTTATTGCGCACCATATGTCTGTTGCAGAGCGATCAGAAAGCCATGAGAACGAGTTTTGATCAGTCATGGAAATAAAAGTGCTGAAAACAAATTTGCTCCCAATGTGAAAAGATTGAGAACAAGCTATGAAGGAACAATAATGGTGTTTTGGTGCAGGTACAGCCAACTAGCGCTAAAATATTGCGATATTGTCAATACAGTATATCGTAAAGTATCACTATGTAACTCGATTTCTTTCACCCCAATCCCTCAAATTAACGGTAAATAACTGAATTGTTTGTCCCACATTTAGCTAAGATGATTAGCTAGCCAGCTAAAA